TTAGTCCAGTTCACTTCTTCCAAGCAAACAAATTCACAGTATTTCTTCTGCTTTCAAATACAAGGCATTCAAATTACCATGGTCCCCTGCAAAAACTAATTACATAAGTAAAATTATCATATGGTAACAATAAAATGCTTTTTAATTGATTATATTGCTTAAAAGATTTTTCATAACAGGAAATGTTTAAGAGTTTCTTAAGGCTTGTAATTGAAGCCAATATATACTAGTAAGGTATTGCTGATTCTATGATTTATATCAGTAAATATAAAAAAGCAGAACCACAATCCTGAAAATGAAAGCACACGTGAACTATAGCTTCAATTAAAAAAAAAAAACTAGAATCATGTTAAACAATAAACAGTTGAAATGAGGAAGGAACAGTTTTATAATTTGTCAGAGATTAAAATATCCCATCTCTCTGAGAATTAAGATCTGCCAAAATAAACTACTCTTAATGGAAATGACAGTTTTTACCCTTAAAGATTATTTGGAAGATAAACTGACCAAAAACCGGTAATGAAATTTTAAAGTACATTTAGGTTTAAAAAATGAAAAAAAAATGGTATTTGTAGTAATTTTGAATGTTATCTATGCATTCAGCTGATAAATAAAAGAAACAATATGGTATATAAAATGAATTACTTCCCACATTTATACCCTTAATCTCTTACTTTTTTGGACAACTAAGAACACATTTAGAACACAGTAGCAAAGTGGCAAGCAAGATACTTACGTCATCATAAATTAAGTTCACACACCCTTGTTGCAAGTGGTCTCTTCTCCTAAAGAAATCTTTACACAAAAAATACTTTTAATATTATAATGTAAAATCTATAATTTCAAATATATAATGTCTCCAAGTACAAAGACTCAATAATTTCATATTGATTAAATCTAAAGTGATTTAATATTCCAAGCAACTGAGAGATGAAGGAAACTCCAAAACTGAGCTAAAACAATTTTTCAACATTTTTATTATTAAATATTGAAAACTTAAAACTAATTAGATGTAATAGTAAATAAGTAACATAGAAAGGGTGGACATGTTATAAGGAAACAGCATAATACTGAATCAATTTTTAAATGGTCAATACCTGTCAATGCTCGAAGCTTCACACAGCAAGCAACGTAATCATCAAAGAAAATTCTGCCATTCTTACTATAACGTCTAACAATAGCAGTTAACGTT